TTTTTTTTTTTTTAAATAACGAAGAACATTCCTGAAGGGGAAAAAAAATTCGAAGGCTCAAAAGCACAGAAACGAAGTCTTGATGTTTAGGAAAAATCAGGATCACAGAGGTAGCGGGGAACTCAAGCCCGTGTACCGAATCTCTGGATAGTAGATAGCTGAGAACAGAGTACAGAGGGGCAAGTAGGTGGCAATTCTAGGTCTAGAGAAACGCGTCTTTCTAGGAGGTCCGGCTGTTGGCCTCCGCCAAGTGGCGGTGTAAGACCAGCTTTCTGCCTGGACCCAAAGCACCCGGATATCCCACTTTCGCGATCACAAGTACACCTCTAAAACTCGAGTCCCAGAACCCGCGCGCGGACGCTTGCCCATGGGCTGACGTCGCCGACGCCTTCGCAGAGTGTGGTGGAGATTCCCAGGACCACGGATGGATTGCTGGACTGGGATGCCAAGCTTCCAGACGGCCGGGATGGCAACTCTAAGGAGTGGCAACTGGCCGGGAGCCAGGAGATTAATTCATGACCTCACTGCCAAAGCCTCCTGCTCCGGCCCCCCTTTCCATCCCTGCACAGCCCTGCTCTGGCCTTGCCGGAGGAGGACCTTTTAACCCAGGATCAGCCGCTGGGAGACCTGTCCTGGGTCTGGCTCCCGGAGGGACCGGGTAAAGGAGGGTGGAGTAGGGTCCTGAATCCAATGGAGTCACAGTCCCCAGGAAAAAAGTGTCTGGGAAGGAAGATAGTCCTCTTTGCCTCGGGTATTCAATCCCCCTCAGTAGTGATTCCGGCCAGTGATAGAGCGGAGATCCGAGGACCTCTCGAGAAATGGAAAGACCGACTTACTAGCAGAGGCGAACGCGGAAAGCGCAGCTCCCAGCCTAAGGTCGGCGGGGCGCCTCGCACCACCCCTCTCAGCCCTCGTCCCGCCCTCCTCCACCTCGCCCCTCCCTCTCTCCCTCCTTCCGAAGTCTCCTCCTCCTGACTCTCCCAGCGCTTCTAAGTTTCTTCTCTCCCGGCTGCGCGCAGAGCCCCGGTTAGGCGCAGGCGGTGTCCTCGCAGTCCTGTTCCGGCGCACTGACCCCGGGCCCGGCCCGGGTCCCACCGAGAGATGCTGTGCGGTCGCTGGAGGAGGTGCCGCCGCTCGCCGGGGGAGCCCACGGTGTCCGCCCAGGTCGCTGCGCCCCTTGCGCTCCAGCCCTCGCCCGCTTCACCGGACGGAGGCACCAAGAGGCCCGGGCTGCGGGCACTGAAGAAGATGGGTCAGTGATGCGCAAGGGTGGGTCCTGGGTGGGCGTGAACTGTCTCTAAGGACAATCTGTAAGGAAAGGGATGTTCTGGCCAAGGGACTTTTCAGGCTGGAGTTGGGGAGGCTGCGACCGGTAGCATCAGCATCTCAGCCGGGGGTCTCACCTGGGGCCGCCAGAGGTTTCCGGCAGGCCAGGATGTCCTTTCACTCCCACCAGGAGGCGCCCAAAGGGCGTGCCGAGTAAGATTTTGGTCCTGGGGCAAGGATGGGGTCGCAGAAGGGCAGGGAGAATGGAGTGAGATAAAAGCTTGGAGTGGGGCTGGGTGCTGGGGATGTAGTAGTTCAACTGGAAAAGTGCTTGCCTAGCCCTAGGCTGAATCCCTGGACCACCCCCTAAACTGAATTGGGTGTTGTTGGCATGCAATCCCAGCACTGGAGAGGTGGAGGAAGGAGGATCATCAGGTCAAGGTCATTCTCTGCTACATAGTGAGCTCCAGGACAACCTGGGATATATGAGGCCCCTGTCTCAAAAAAATATACACATAAAAGCTTAGGTGCCCTCGTCTGGCTCCCCTGTGCTATCTGGGATCTATGAGTACCTATTGGCCCTGAAGAGGGGTGAGCTGTTTGCAGGTGGCTTATAGAAGAGGCTATACTCCCAAGCCAGCCTTGTAACCCTGAGGTCCCCTTATGGACAGTATTAACAACAAAGCATTCACTGACAGGACCAGGAAAAAGTCCAGGTTCACTAGATGTGGTGACCCGACTCACCTTTGTTCCTAGCACTTGGGAGGCTGAGGCAGGTGGATCTCTGAGTTTGAGGCCAGCCTTGTCTACATAGGAAGTTGTGGGCTAGCCAGAACTATATAGTGAGACCCAGTCTCAAAAAAAAAAAAAAAAATCCAGTTTCCCACCTACATGAGGGAAGTCATTAGTCCTCAAGGAGTCCCAGATTCAGCCCAACACATCAGTGGTTTGCAAGTGTGATGTCATGTAGTCCTCTTCACCTTCCTGAGACAGGTAGCCTAATCCCCATTTCACAGAGGAGGAAATTGACTCAGATATCAGAGTTTTTAATAGGTTACTCAGACTGTGTACCAACACACCACCACTCTCAGTCTAGGCAAAGTGGGACTTGCTGGACTTGAACAAGGGGTAAAAGTGAAGGCATTTTATAAACTGTAAAGCGCTGAAAATTGAAGTGGTTAATTGGAACTGCCAGTCTTGAGCCAGAATTCAGGGGTCTGGAATACCAGCCTTGGCATCCCTTTACAGCTGTCCCCTTCTGTCATCATTCCACCTGAATGTGTTGAATGCTGCTCTGAACACTGTACCTAGATAGGATCTCTGCCCAACCCTCCATTTAGTAATGCAAGAGGCCAACATTTATTGAATGCCTGTAATATGCTCTGCCCAGAAACTGAGAAACAAAGGCAGGAACTATACAACCAAGCAGGGAAGCCAGAGAAGCTTGAGGAGACCTGGAAAGAAGGGGCCAAGTGTGGTGCTGGAGAGGTAGACAGAACCCTGCTGAATCCCAGAACTGGAAGGACGCTGGTATGGACAAGTGAGAGGGAGGTGGGCTCTCAAAGCCCCTCCCGGTAGAGGTATGGGCTTTATTTAGGTGATACTAGGGACCCCAGAAAGGCCTCTGGCAGGAAATATGTAGGAGTGAGTTATGGGAGTGGAGGGTAGAATGGATGAAGGTAGGAATACAAAGGGACCAGTGGGAGGGAGGCAGCAGAATAGTGGGGGAAGAGGCACTGGGGCTTAGACTTGGGGAGGCACAGAGGTCAGCGCTCCTAAAAGCAGGCTGGGAATGGGAGGGGACTGAGATTCCCCCTCTGGTATGCAGTTTGAAAGAAGTCTCTAGTGGCACACCCCTTTAATCCCAGTACTCTGGGAGTCACAGGCAGGCTGATCTCCGTGAGTTCCAGGCTAGCCTGGTCTACATAACGAGTTCTAGGCCAGCTGGGGCTACAGGGAGACCCTGTCTCAAAAATACCAAAAAAAGAAGGAGGAAGAGGAGGAAGGGGAGGAGGAAGAGGAGAAAAGAAAGAAGTCTCTGATTAGTGTAGCACTGTTCTATAGCAGCATGATTTGGGAGAGGGGTCAGCTAGGTGAGGTGGCCTGCCACTGAGGTAGGATAGGGCTCTCAAGGAACTGGAGAAATACCCTGGGCCGTTGGATTGTGAATGTTGCTGGAGGCAGAGGTGAGACTGCCCCATCCTTTTATGCCCATTTGCTGAAGTCTATTGGTAGCCAGGGTGCTGGGCCAGGGGCCAAGGCCACAGAGAAGGATGACTCTGAGCCTTGGCCTTGGGGCACACAGTATAGTAGCCAGAGACTTGTAGACACATAATTATAGTGGAACTCAACTCAGCACACATCAGCTGAGTATGGCTGCATGGGAGTTCTGGGCAGCTCATCCAGGTGACAGTGTCAGCAACTATGTGCCTATCAGAATGTCATCTCTGCCCCTGCCCCCCACCCTCTTCAGCACTGATTCGTCCTGTCCTGCTGAGTGACCCTGGAGAGAGGAATGCCAGTCTGTAAGGAAGGCACCTTTCCCAAGCAATGCTGAGTGCAGGGAAACCACAGAAACAAACCTGGTGGGCCTATGGCCCAGCCCCTTGGGCCAACAAGGGCTAAGTCACCCAGGTGGTTTCCATTCCCACCAGATATACTGTCATAGGATGACCTTCATCACTGGGCTCAGGCTAAGAGAGAAAGATCTTATTTCAGGTCAAGGAACTAGAGCAGGGAGTATCTCAGAGGGGCCTGAGGGAGGAAGAGGTCTGTAGAACCACAGTAGGGGGAATCAGGCCAAGGATAGGGAGGAGGGGGACTGAGTGGGAGCCATCTGTGCAGCTCTCGGCTGGGACAGCTCTGCTGGGAATCAAAGTACCCTGGAACATTGCTGCCCTCTGAGCTTGCCTTGGACCTCAGCCTGCTTATTTCTCAGCCATCCCTGGGGGCATGTGTCCTCCTCAGTGACAAGTGAGAGACAGGAGGTAGAGGGGTAAAGCCCCTGCCAAGGCAGCGGTTAAGAGACCATGGCTGCCTGCTACCACAAGATTTCAATGATATACCTTATTACCATAATTAATGAATAAAACTGCCTTCATAACACTGCCTAGTGCTCTGTGTATCATCTCATTTAATGCTCACAGTCATGTGAGGTAGGTGGAAACATGAGCCTCATTTTACAATGAGGAAATGTGGGCTCAGAGAGGTTTGATAACTTGCCTATGGTTCAAGGCCAGAAGTAAGCCAGGTGTGGCCATACCTGATATTCCATCCCCGAAGAAAGAGAGAGGTCAGCCTGGTCTCTATAGGAAGTTCCAGGCCATCAAGGGCTACAAAAAACAAAAACCAGCTGTTTGTGGTGGCACATGCCTTTAATCGCAGCACTAGGGAGGCAGAAGTAGGTGGAGCTCTGTGAGTTGGAGGTCTACATAGTTCCAGGCCAACCAGAGCTATAGACTGAGACCCTGTCTAAAAACCAAACCAAAAACAAAACAAAACAAAAAACACCAAAAGGTATAAGTAATTGAGAGATTTGAACTCAAGGCAATATGACCCAGAGTTTAGCTTCCTAAGACAGAGGATGAAAAAGAAGCTTACATCTGGGAAGGGCCTCTGCTCTTCTCTCCCACCATGGTCCTGCCAGGCTCCAGAGATGTCCTCCTTGGATTGCCAAACAAAATATGGGATGTTAAGTTTGAATTTCAGGTGGACAAAGAATAATTTGGGACATACTTATGTATCTGTCTTTCTATATAATGTATATAATATAATACATATATTTATAATTTTAATATGTAATACATATATTTATAATTTTTGTGTGTGGTACTGAGGATGACACCCAGGACCCTGAGCATGCTAGGCAAGCTGGGATGTACTTACACTAAAAAGGTATTTGTTGTTTATCTTAAATTCACATTTGAAGGGTTCCTTTGATTTTGTGCAGCAGTGCCAATCTCACCACCCCCTTCTGTGCCTGAGCCCTCATGCTCCGCCCAGATCCCTAATCCTCCCAGTGGGCAGAGGGCTGAGTAGGCACAATTTTGCTCCCACATTTTCCTGGCTTATGCATGCCTGCTGCTAAGCACCCCTGGGTGAAGGGACTTTCCTGATGGCCTGTCCAGGATGTCTTCTGCAGGGTGAGTTGGGCTGGCCAGAAGTGGAGGTGACAGGAGGGGGATCTTCAAGTGACCTCAGCCTTTGCAGGTGCTTGGGCTGGGTGTCAGGGAGGACGAGGCAGCCTGTAGCTTCCCCACCTCCCCACCCTGACCCCATCCTTGCCTGTTCTAGCCCAGAATGTGCCGCACCCTCATCTCTCTGGTCCACAGGCCTCCAGGGAAGCCCCGCCTGCCCTTCCTGCCTTTGTTGATTTTCCCAGGAATGTTAAGGACTGTGCATTCCCTCCCTCTGGCCTCTGTGTGATGGCCTACTGGCATAAGGGGTACATGTTGGTACCTGTGACAATGGTGCCGGATAAGGGATTAGGGTGGGAAGGTGACTGGAATCTCAGCCACTGTGTGTCCTTTCCAGCACTTCATGGCCCCAGACACCAGGAAACACTGCTCTTTCCCTGTCACCCTTTACACACACTTGGCAGGAGCAGCGGCCTGCCCCATTCTTGCCTGTCTCACATCCCTGCCAGAGCCCTGTGTGACTTTCCTGGTGAGTGTATTAGTGTGTGCACTCCCCGACACACACATAGCCTGTTTTCCTCCCTAGGCTGACCTACCTTCTTCCTACCCAACCCACACACTAGACAAACATACAATCACACTATAGACCACTCTGCATACACCCTGGCTGTTAACACACCCCACCTTCTTCACACCACCCTCCATTAAATGCTCTGACCCTCACAGTACCTCTCCACAGGACTACACTGGCCTCTGCCCACTACCCAGCCCTACCTCGGGTGCTCATGCTTAATTTGCCTTTTCTGAGTCCCGGTGGCCTATCTGTGAAAAGGATGGGATTTGGGAGCCC